ACAAGGCGGCGGGGAGGGGAGGCCTACACCTTAACTTATCTGAGTCCTTGGGACCTGTCTCACGACTGAGGGCTTGGGACCTCGACCTCTGGGAACTTTGGAAGTTAGATCTTAGCGTGTTCTGGCTGCCACCGCACGACTCCACCCAGTTCCAGCCAGCTCTTGCTCTTGCTCTGGCAGCTGGGCCAGCTGCAGGCTGGTTTTAGGCCCCAAGGACTTTAGGGGGTGCTGACATCTACAGCGGTCGCTCGCTCGGTCGCCCTTGGTTAAACCGATTCAAGGAGGATGGGAAGGAGGACCTCTAAGCTGACTAAGTGAGCTCAGGCTCAGGGGAAGGTGAGGGGGACTCAGGTGATCAGCAGGGGCATGTGTCCCCTCAACCCACTTCCCAGTTGGGTGAGGAGCTTCTGTAACAAGTTCGGACCTCTGTAACAAGCAGGAATCTCATTTCTGGCTGGCTTCACCCTTTGTACACCGCAGCCAGAGTGGTGTGGCATGGATCTGCTTATTGAGCAACTACTTTGTGCCAGGCTAAGCGCCACATATGCAGCATCTCCTCCAATCTACAGGGACTCTGAGCTAGGAATGGTTATCTAAGTTAATAGGTATAGATGTGGCTCCAAGGAAGGGTGCTGCCGTTCCAGGCTCCCAATGCTAATGAGGTGCAAAGCTGGGATTAGAACCCTCTTTAGCTCTGGCTCAGTTGACTAGAGCATCGTCCAGATTCACCAAGGTTGTAGGGCACATACAAGAATCAACCAACAAATGCATAAATAAGTGGGACAACAAATTGATGTTTCTCTTTCTCTTTCTCTCCCTGCCTTTTTCTCTCTCAAACACAATTTAAAAAAATTTTTTTTTAAAGAACCCAGTTTAGACTTCAGGGTGCTCTCAAAACATCAAGTTTCACTTTGGAGATGGTGAAACACATCTGGGCTTCTTTCCGCTAGAAAGAAACTCTTAGAATCAAGGTCAGGGGTTCTCAACAGGCTCACTCCAGAATTGCCTGTGGCACCAGCTATTAAGCACTACTGTTAGACCCATTTTATAGGTGAGAGGACTGAGGCTAGGGCAGAGGAAGCTCCTTGCCCAACACATTAGCACAGACTGGGCAGAGCTGAGACTCCTGGAATCTAGTGTGAGGATCTTCTACCCATCTCATGTCACCTGGCCAGGAAAATGAAGCACACTTGTGGCTCCCACCTCACCTGCAAATGTGCACACTAGACTTATCAGGGGAGCCTCCCTCACCCTTTATACAGCCGAGTCTGACTTGATTGGTTTGCAGTGGGGCCAGGCATGGTGTCTCTAATATTTTTTTTTTCTTTTTCTTTTTTCAAAGCTTTATTTTTTTTTTGAACAGGTAATATTTACCTAACTCAAAAGTCAGAAACCTGCCCCAGCTACTCGATCTTCCTGCCTGAAAGGTGGCCACCTTTAACAGTTAACTATGTCTCTTTAAAGATTCTGTATAGCCCTGGCCAGTGAGGCTCAGTTGGTTGGAGCAATATCCTGGTCAGGGCACATACCCAGGTTTTGGGTTCGATCCCTGGTTGGGGTGCATACAAGAGGCAACTAATCAGTGTTTCTCTCTTTCTTTCCCTCTCCCTCTCTCTCTAGAATCAATGAAAAACATATCCTCAGATAAGGATTTAAAAAAAAAAAAAAAATCTGTATAAATGCAAGTAAACCCGTTTACCCCATTCACACCTTTATCTCTACAGTATCTTGACCCATGTCAATTATATGTAAATTCTCATTCTTTTGCCAGGCACTGGGCTAACCTGGTATCTTCTTTATTCCCCTTCTGCTGGACAAACAGGTCATCAGTGTCTTCTTGTGGCCAAAACAGATATACTTGCCTCTGGCCACTTGGCAGTACAAGTGTGGGATGGTCCTCGAAGTGAGGTTTCTGGGTCAAAGAGAAGATGTCTCTTGAAACTTGGTAGCTATTGGCAATTGCCATCCACAGAGGTTTTGCTCCATGGGTGTCTCTGGAGTACCGATACAGGTGAGCCCTCAAAGGGCTGTACCAGGACCTTGCCCTTCGAGGTATAGCCCTGGATCAGCTGCATTAGCAGCACCGGGAGCTTGTTAGAAATGCAGACTCTCAGCCCTGCTGAATCATCACCTGCGCTTGGACAAGCCCACGGGTGCATGTTAACAATTGAGAGGCAGGGCTCTCAGAACTGGGTGCTGTCAGAGTGCAGGCGTGACCCGGACTTCCTCCTGGAGGGAGAGGCAGGGCAGGCTGTACCTGACTAGTCCATCTCTCCACAGTTCGTGCTTCTGAGAAATGTCTACCAATGAGACAGAAGCCCCTGCCAACACCCAGGTGGCAGCTGAAGAACCGGTACAGCAGGTGAGGAAGGTCTGGAATCTATGGGGTAAGGCTTCCCGTGTCATGGTACCATGGAAGGGAGCCAGGGAACTGCTGGCAGCACAAGGGGGTTGAGATCTTTCTGACTGGGTGGAGGAGAGTCAGCCGACGAACCTCTAGCAGGTGCCCCTCTAACAGATGGGGGCAGGACAACTGGGAATCTCAGGCTCTTAGAAGAACAGGGGTATGATTTGAAACTGCATGGCTCCCCCCCCCCC